TTGAAGATGAGGAAGATGAATTCATATTTCTGTGTTCGAATATGTTGAAATCAAGATCTAGAACACTCTTCGACAATGAGTCATGTTGAGAAGCAAAGTTCTTTTTAAAGCTGTCATTCAGTTGTGATGACTATCATTCGTTACAGCCCATCACTCATCATTATGATCGTAAAAACCATTGAGTTCAACATGATTTGATAGCGATTTCTAGATCGATTCGTATCGCTTGCGCGTTTTATTTTTCCATGCTATACTCGATACATTATCTAATGGAATATGTGTTATTGAAGACAATTCAAACTAAGTCTGATTTAAAACATTTTTAGTGTACAAAAGAAACCTTTATTTAGAAACTGTTAAAGATGTTTCACATGACACACACTACCAATCGTACGATAGGAAGTGTTGTGGTGTTTCTAAATGTAGAGTGTTGACTGTGAGACAACTAAGATTTGACTTCTCTTTCTTTGGTTATGAATTTTCATTCTTCGCCGAATCTCGTTTAAATCTGTCTTGTCAGAAATTGTAAGCAATGATGGATGAGGACGTTTACGAACGACTTCTACTTTGCATCTCGATTATTTTGATTGCCGATGATAACTTTCACATCCATTGGTGGTGTATTGGCAAATGTCTGAGACCAAATCTGATGAAGATCTCGTTTGTAACTGTCGAATCGTTTCTCGTGTGTATAATGAAGGAGAAGACGATTCCTAACGGTCTTTTCATCTTTCTTGTTATTTTGTGCTGGTGTTGTCCTCTTCACTGACACTTCCTTGCTTTTTTAACCAGTTGGTTGTTATTGACATCTGCTGTGATCATTCCCGTTGTTCCACTCTTTGATGAAGTCTATCCGCTCAGTCAAGTAATGTAATACGCATAGCGAAAAAATCCCTTTCGTCATCAATGAGCGACAGGACAGATAAACACGACATGAAGGAAACACAGTTTATGACATAGAACTTCGTGAATTGACTATTGATATAGTTCGGCGAATAGCTAAACATTCACGATATATGGACAAGGAATCATTTAAACATTTCGCATAAACCAGAAGTTTGTTCAACTTACCTGTTGTAGAGCAACATTGTTTTGATAGCACGTCGTTCATTGTTAAAGGCTTCGAATGTGGATGAATATCGGACAGCTCGACACAGGGCCACTTGAACAATATTTTTAAATGTATGCCGAGGATGATCTGATACAAATGGTAAAACATAAGGCTCCGCAACTTACTTATGATACACAGACGTTGACAAGACCCCGTTTTCGTTGTTGATAAGCACATCGAGAAATGTCACACTGGCACCTATCTGCCGAACTTTGGATGAAGATTGTTAGCTTTATCCAACATGGCACTGATGACTTCCGAACGGTTATTTGATGTAAAGAATATATCATCAATATCTCTATTTTGCTAACGAAAGAAATAACTTGTCCATTTCAACAGTTTCTGTTAGTATTAGGACACTTACCGGCCATACATTTCATTGGCTCTTTGTTGCTGAAGAACAATATCTTTTTGCCAATGCCACATAAAGATATTGGCTAAAGTTAATGTAAATGGCGATCCCATAGCACCACCAATGATCTGTTTGTAGCACTTGTCGCCATAAACAAAGACATTTTCCGTTAAAACAAGACGAGCCACCTTTCGAATAGCATCTGTCGGAATGCCTTTCACTTTGCGATAGCCATTTTCAATCAGAAATTGAGTAAGAATTTTCAAAGACTCTTCTTGTGGCAACATTGTATAGAGATCAGTGATATCGAATGTGCAGAGTAGAGTCATTAGTTTTAAATAACCACCAGCCACATATGTGGCTTCTTGAACAATATATATTGTTCAAGACGACACACAAGATCCACACCATTCACAAAGGCTGTTGACTTCGCATGTTTGTCGAATATTGGTCGAATCAAATCGTCCAACAAATGAGAAATGCCCGATGTTCGACCGTCGATCGATGGAATAATCGGTCGAAGTGGTGTACCTTCCTATGAATTCATTCGAATACAAAGTAAATTTAATTCTTCCAAAGACGGACACGATGTAATTAAACTTACTTTGTGAAATTTGGGCAAGAAATACATGTGACCCAACTTGACTTTTCGTCTGTCAGGCATCATTCTCTTGTATCGCCATGCCAAAATGTGTTTTTTCGAACGAAGATCATTCAATAAATGAGTGACTTTGTCTAACATCTCGTGCAACGGATTTACTGGTAGCTCCAAGTAGGCACCTGTCTTGGCACGATATTCGGCTGCCTTTCTCTCATAGTCACTTGATTGACCAATATGAAACACTAAGCTCTGTCTGTCTGTCGAATAACCAGTTTCAATATAGCTAATTTACGTCGAATCGATTTGACAAGACAAAGCTCTTGGCGAGCACGCAATGCATCTTCCACAGACAATGGAACTATAGCGACACGAGTGAGACAAAACTGAAGACGAAAGGAAAACTGCTGAATGATTGGTGACGATCTCGGCATATGACAGTGGTTCGACAGATAGTCCATGACTTTGTTCATGATATAGCTGTGTTTCCGTTGAATTTGTATCTGTCGTTGATCATAAGGACGAAGCCAACTATCTTCATCCTTTTTATCAAGGGGGAAACAGCGTCCTTCTCCATACTTGCTGCTACTTCTTCGTACTTTCCAGTACTTCTCTGTACTTTTGGGCCTTTTCTACTTTGATACGGCCTTTACTCACTATGAAATATGGTGTTTTTGCACCAATATTTAATAATCATGCCTAAATAACACATGGGCCCGTACAGATAATTAATAACAATAATAACATGTACTTCTTGATACTTCCATGTACTTATTGATGCTTCTTCGTCCTTGGGCGTACTTCGCCGTGCTTCTGTACTTCTATGTACTTCTGAAGTAGGAAGTACGCTGTTTCTCTCTTGCTTTTTTTTTTTAATCAACAATATCATCGAGAAAAAATGATTTACCACCAGAAGTTGTTTGTAGAAATGAACTTGATCGTCTAAAACGTTACGAAAATCACTTAGCAATACTTAATTCACATAAGGAACGACGATCATATCCACAAACATTGTCATACATGCCAAAATCACCGCTTGGAGCAGATGATGATAATTTTTTAACTGTTGAAGAATTGTCGACAACAGCTAATTGAGCTGACCATGAAGTTTACCAACGACCAGATTTCAGTTTCGAAAACCAACATTGAATCCATATCATCTGCAATCCCGCATTTGAAAAGATTTGAACTTGAGGCCGAGATTGACAAAAAATTAGAACCATTTATTGAAAGCTTATGGTGTAAATTAATTCGTCTTACAATCAACGGAAAAAAAACAGGAAAAAATTCATCACCATCAGCAAAAACAAGCTTTCATTACCTGATTCATCATTTCCAACGATTAATAATTTCCCATCGACAACAACTACTATCGCAACAACAAAACGGCTGAATAACAATAATAATATTAATCAAAAAAGCCAGGATAAAAAATCTCGTCAATCTGGAAAAATACATTTTAAACAAAATGCCCAACAAGTTAGTCGTTCAACATTAACTTCTTTGAACCGACAACAACAGTCTTCTTATAAACATCAACAACAGCAACAAACCAAAACAACATCAGTTAATCGACGACAACGATCACAAGTAACAACAAATTCATTTTCATCTCGTCAAGGTCGCTCATCGTATAATAGAAGAAATAATAATCACTATGATAAAAGATAGCGATTATTCATATAACTATCCTAGTTATTTTTATGGTCGATATCGATCAACGTATTATCCGTCTTACTATAACAATGAATACGATAATAATAACTCTTATTACTACACCAACAGTTTAACCATTAGCTCCACAACAATATCTAATTCATCCATCCCCAACTTGCTATCAACCACAAATACCACAAACAACATATTAAATAACAATAATAATAATTCTTTATCGGCAGCAACAATTTCTTACTTAGATTCAATTAATTTATTCAAAAAAATGTATCCATCATGCAATTCATCATCGATATTTAATCAAGAACTAAAATACGATCGTCAACTTGTCGAATTAGAAGCAATTCATCTAGATGGTATTATTTATTCTAAAAACGTCAATATCAATGAATTTCTTATTTCGCTTTTTGCTAATCGTAAATTATTTATTCCAAATCTAACCACCGATGAACAACAAGGTCTGCATTCGTTAACTGAACGATAAGATATCGTCATTCGTCCTACAAATAAAAACGTCGGTATCGCTGTATTCGATTCAAACGTTTATGAATCTAAAGTTCTTCAACAACTATTGGATGAAGAATTTTATGAATAACTCCATTACAATCCAACTCGTCAAACATTTCAGCGTATTAAATTGGAATTAAATAGGTTATTTAAATCAAAAAACATCAATTTTCAAACATTAGAATATATCGAACCAAAACAATCAATATGCGGATCGTTTCATATTTTGCCAAAACTACACAAGAAGAAATGCCCTGGCAGACCAATTGTGTCCGGTATCGAACATCTGATAGCAAACATTTCAAAATATCTTGAACGGAATTTAACCCCATATATACCGTTATCGAACCAAATTGCCTATGAAGAATATAATGTTCAAAATTATTTTGTCTTGAACGACACAAATCACCTATTAATTGAAACAGAACGCTTTAATACTGAAGTTTCAACACAACATATTATGTTATGTTGTACATTTATTGTGTCACTCAAACATAGCAGATATTGGAAACTGCTTCATTCGATAGGTCATTGGGTATGATTTAAAGTATTTTTGATCTCCTGTTTAGTAATGTCACATGCTAAAAATCTCTAAAAGAGTCTATTCGGTGCAGACTTTCAGTGTCTATCGAATGACGCTGTTTTCAATATCTGCTATATTTGAATACGCTATTCAGACACGCTATGAAAAAGTACAAAAACGTATTTGTTTTTGAGACACAAAACCAAAACTGAGTTTTACCATGTTGAAAACCGCCTACAAAAATATTTGCATAATTATCTATTTTTGGCGCACTTTTATGCCAATGGAAACAATTCAACTTCTTCATCTCGTATAAAATCAACCTTCGCCAAGCTACTCTATGCTCCGTTCCAATTCACATTCGCATTAAATGTCGGTTTACGTCCTATGACAAAGTATTAAGCAATTAAAACTCGAACATCATTTTGAAAAGGGAAAAAAATCCGTAAAAGCCATTGCACGTAAGCCACGACCTATTACAGCGGAGTGGCCTTCAATCGATGTTCTCGAAACTTTTCCAAAGTAGAGGGCTTTTGTAGACCAAACATTTTAAGGAATTTTGGTAAAAGGCGCAAAT